TATACCAGAGACTTACATTGGTTTTGGAAACGCTCTACAGAGGAGAAAAAAAAGAGTTCTCAATTACTTATATAATATGAGATTGAGGAGAAATTTTCATAGAGATTTGAATTCTAATTGGTTGAATCTTTTTAGTCTTTGTATGATGACGAGCACTGGATATGAAACTTTCTTATAGACATGGTCTCGACTACACATTTTTTTTTTTGAAAGAATGTTAAATTATTCATTCAAAAACCAACTGTCTCGACTACACATTTTCAAAACCAAAATTATCAAATAAAGTAATAGTAGTCTTTTTCAGGTAACAATGAAGAGAAAGGATGAAATAAAAGACTTTTCTCTACTTGTGTGGCTTCTTAGAAAAGCAATTTATGGTTTCATGAAACAATTTATTAGTGCTAAATATTTATACATCAGGAATCTATTTTTTTGGCTGAATATCAAGCAAAAAGAAGCAGAAAATTAATATCAAACTTCTGTTGAAATATAACTAGAAATAGTTCATAAACAAGTGAAAATAATTTCTCACTCGGGTATGCATTGATCCCAATGTAGTGAACTTAGACGTTGAGGTCCATCTTCTGTAGTTGGTATATGCATTTTATCTTTTTCACGATATAGGTGTTCTGTTTAATGAACACAGTTGGAAATCCAAAATATCTGATTGGCGACAAAGCCGGAACGATACCTCCTGCAGAAACCCACATAATTAACAACCAAGCCAACAACAGAACTTGAGGAAACTGATCTGTAGTGTATGCCAGATACTTATCCTTGTTAACCAAAGCAATAGCAAGTTAAATGCGGGGAAACGTGTGAAACAATCTTGAATAATCTCGATATCACTACGGCTAGTGTCCAGAATCAATCATCCATCAAGCCTTTGCCAAACAAATGCATAAAGGTTTTGTCTTCTTTTTTCTACCCCAGAATAATCTCTTCCCAAACCAATTCCAACAACCTTTGATGTTTTCATCTTTAGAGAGTTGAACAGCTTCAGGGTCATAATCTCCATCTCCATCTCTTTCTTGATGAACATGATAATGAAGTATACTACTTCTTCCCATCACTGGAACCTCAGACTCTGGTCTCATGAGATTCCATGAGAAGTATGCTCTGTCTTATTCATCTTTTTCTTCTTCAGACCAAGCTTCTCAAGCCAACTCCAACAACTTGTATGATTAGTTGTTTTGATGTTTTCACCTTGAGAGACCATAAAAGCTTCTGCTTCGTAGTCTCCATCTCCATCTATGAGGCGGTTGTTGTTGCCTCCAGTTCCATAGTAGTCCACTTCGCTGCGACTACTCTCAGTTTCAAAGTTGTCCATTTTGCTGCTGCTGCTAGTCTCAGTTTCAGAGTTGTCCACTTCGCTGCTGCATATGTACACCACACTCGATAATCTTGTCATCGTTGTACCACATCCACTTCAAGGCATCTGTTTCGTTGACGAAACAAGTCACCACGAAATATAAACAGATGTTCCGATAGAGGAGACAGATCAGAAAGCCGTGCAAAACTGCAAAAGTTGTTAATTGTAACACCTCCTTTGCTTCTTAGACGACAACTTATGGTAAGAAATCAGTAGTCCTTGATTGGCGAAAGCAGAAAGGAAGCCTTAAATCTTGAGGAAGCAGAGAAAGTCCCCGAAGAGATGGTTATGGAGTGTCCTGTGGCTTTGTAAGTGAACTCTGCAGGGACTTGTTTACCTGGCAAGCATATATACTCGTGAATCGATTGTTGTATGATTCCTCTTCTTGCTTCTTTATCCAGTTTCAGACAGTTGTAGAACGTGAGTACCTTGACTGGGTTGTGGAGAGAGCAACATACTGAATTGAGTGATACACAATTCAGGGACTCGAGCGGAGGGGGAAGGGCCAGAATTGACACGAGTTTTGTGCAGTTTTCGACAATGAGATCTACTAGATGCGAGAGACCTATGACACAATCTGGAATCTTCTTTATATCACTGTTGATTAGGTCTAGCTTTCTTAAACTTTCCGGGACATGACTTAATCTCTCAAGGCTTTTGCTGCCTATCAACGAGACCAACATCCAACAATTGATGCAGGGACGTCTTTTATCTCCTTGAGAATCTTGATGTTACTCGAGATATCTGGAAAACTTCTCAGTTGCGAGCAATAACTCATGTCGACTTCCTCAAGAGATGCTACGTTGATGTTGGTGGGAATAACTCGTAGCTTTTTGCAGTCCCTCATCACCAACTTCTCAGTTGGTGGTTAGTATATAAAATTATCTTGCAAATAAATTTGTCTTTGGTAACAAGAACCCTGCTACTATATATAGAAATAAGGTT